CACAGCCCCACACCCCGGGGCGGGGGGGTGTGGGGGGGAGGGGGGGTGGAGGCTGGATGTGCCATCCCCCAGCCAGTGTCACCGGCCCAGTTTGGGGATGGGGGGGTTGCTGGTCGGGAACTGGATGCGCAGGGGACTCTGTCCCCTCGGTGGCACCTCCCGAGGTGACTTGTGGCTTTTCCCGTCCTTGCTTCCCGCTCTGGACCCGCGGGACGTTCCTGTTGGAGTTGAGAGGGGAGAGAAAGTGGTTCCTGTGCAGCTGGGCTTGGCTTTGTGCTGGAGTCCCAGACTGGTTTGGGTGGGAAGGGACCTGAAAGCTCATCCAGATCCCACCCCCTGCATGGGCAGGGACACCTCCCACCAGCCCAGGCTGCTCCAAGCCCCATCCAACCTGCCCTTCAACACCCCCAGGGATGGGGCAGCCACAGCTTCCCTGCCCAACCTGGGCCAGGCTCTCACCACCCTCACACCAAAGAATTCCCTCCTCATCTCCAACCTCCATCTCCCTCTTCCAGTTTTCATCCATCCCCCTCATCCCATCCCTCCCTGCCCTTGTCCCAAGTCCCTCCCCAGCTTTCCTGGAGCCCCTTGGGCACCACTTCCCAGTAGTTTGAAACTTCCCAGTTCCCGGGAAGCAGGGAAAGGGGATGGGATCTGGTCACACTGGTGGGTGCTGCTCCTCCCAGTCCAGGGTGATGCTGGGACCCTGGGGGGACAGAGCAGGGGAGTGAACCTGCCCAAGCTTGGGAGCTGGTTGTGTCGTTTCTGTGTGTTTATTATGGGATGCCAGCAGGTCCCCAGGAGCCCCCATGGGCAGGAGGTTGGTGGTTCCTGCTGGAACCTCATGGATGCCTCATCCCTGGCAGGTCTGGCACCTTCTGAGACAACTCACATCATTGTCCTGAGGTGGCACCTGAGGACACAGGCCCTGCTGCTTCCCTTGCTTTGCATTTTTCCTCCCTGCCCTTCACCAGGAATTCAGTCCCAGCTCCACATGCTGAGGGTGCAGACTGGGAGGGGGGTCATTTTAAGCAAGGGGGCTGGAAACCTTAACTGGGTCCCAGGGAACTGGGGCTTCCTCTGTGGGAATATAGAGAGATTCTTCCTCCTGAACCTGTCAAGATCCTTTTGGATCATGTTTTTCCCCAAAAAAAAATCACCCTAAAGTGAGTGGGAACAAATCCTCATCCTCTGCCAGGGCTCAGGCAAGCACAGGCAGTGGGACTGGTTTGTGATGGGATTTCTAAGGTCAAGAAACATGATTGATAATGGTTTTTTATTCCCAATGAAAATGGGAAACCTCACTTGGCTGGAATGATCTCCATGGGTGTGTGGTGCTGGGTGCCCTTGTGGAGGGAACTGGGCTGGGTAAAATGCTCTCTGAGATACATATATATATATATTTTAATTCTGTCAAAAATCAGTGGCAGCAAAACTTGGGGTTTGAGTATGAAAACTTGTGTAGGAAGTGTTTGCTTTCTGTGGAACACTTTGTCTCTTTCAAGGAAAAAAAAACCCCAGCCACCAAAAAAAGCTGCTTGTGGAGTGTTTGTTTTGATCTCTGGAAATAGTTCCCAGTTTGCTGAGGAATGGGAGGGAATGGGATGTTCCCTCCCCCCTCTCCTTGTTCCAAGACAGGGAGAACAGCTCAGGTAGGGACCATGTTTCACCCTCCCTGTGCTGGTGAGGACAGTGGTGATGTGTTGGTGGGGGGAGTGGGGGTGAGACCCACCCCTGGGGGGGCTTGAATTCATCATTTCACATGTGCTTGTAGGGTTTGTAGCACCCAGTTTAGACCCTGGAGCTTGATCAGCCACCCTTTTTGCTTCCCCAAAAGACCCATCTTTGACTTTCATTGGTGTAGTGGGGCTGGTGGGTCCCATCTGGTCACCACCAGGGCTGTGCAGAGGAGCAGCAGATGCAGCATCAGGCTGGGGAGTGATGGTTTGGGTCCCCTGGGAACCTTTTCTGAGCCCAAATCCCTGGACGTGTGGCAAGTGTCCATCCCACATCCCAGTTGGTCCATCCTGCAGAGGTTTCGGGGGGTGAGATGCAGCCCTGCAATGCTGAGGGTGCTCAGTCCTGGCTGGGAGACCCCTCTGAGCTTTGGGTCCTGTGCTTTGTGGGCACCCTATGCAGGCCTGGGCTCTGCTGCAGAGATGGGACAAGGAGCCAGCACTGAACACAGCTTGACGTGACTTTGGGGGGGCATCTTCCTAGAGTCATGGACTGGTTTGGGTGGGAAGGGACCTGAAAACTCATCCAGATCCCACCCCCTGCATGGGCAGGGACACCTCCCACCAGCCCAGGTTGCTCCAAGCCCCATCCAACCTGCCCTTCAACACCCCCAGGGATGGGGCAGCCACAGCTTCCCTGGGCAACCTGGGCCAGGCTCTCACCACCCTCACACCAAAGAATTCCCTCCTCATCTCCAACCTCCAGCTCCCTCTCCCACTTTTCATCCATCCCCCTCATCCCATCCCTCCCTGCCCTTGTCCCAAGTCCCTCCCCAGCTTTCCTGGAGCCCCTTCAGGCACTGGAAGCTGCTCTAAGGTCTCCCTGGAGCCTTCTCTTCTCCAGGCTGAACACCCCAACTCTCCCAGCCTGTCCCCAGAGCTGCTCCAACCTTGGATCATCTCCACATCCTCCTCTGGACTGTTTCCAACAACTCCATGTTTTCCCTGTTCTGAGAGCTTCCAAACTGGATGCAGCTCTCCAGGGGAGGTCTCACCAGAGTAGAGGGGACAGAATCACCTGTCTCAACCTACACTTCATCTTCTGAACCCCCCTGAAGGCCCCAGCAGAGGAGCTGCTGCCAGGCCAAGAGGAGGAAACAGGAGCGGAGCCTCCAACGTCTGGACGGACGAGAAACTCTCCCTCCTTGTCCTGCTTCAATATTGCTTCCCTCAACCCAAAAAAAAATATAAATAACATAAATTGGAAAAGAAAATTGCCCATTTCATCAATTTGGGGGCAAGTTTCTAAAATCCTGCAGCTAAGCAATCCCCAAAGAAGATGATAGATGCCAGGGAGCACGAAGCCCCGGCCGTGATGTATCGTCGCATTAGCCCCGATGTCGTGGTACGTGATTCTGTTTTATTACCACTGCTGGTGGCAGACAGAAAAACAGATTAGGCTGGAGATGGAATCGATAGGAACTTTATTTACTGGCCTTTTGAAAAACATATTTCTGCACTTTATAAAAACATACGGTAGGTGCTGGGGAGGGAGTTTGTCTGCTTGTTAAAAAGCAATTTGCCCGCCGCGACGTTCTCAAGCTGCGGGTGTCGGCGCTACCTCTTACCTGCTCTTCCACGTTTGTTCTCATCTCAGGGCTTGATGACTTCCTTAAAGGGTTTTTTGGGCTGTGCCACCACTGGTTTAGGGTGTGGGGAAGGGGTAGGATTTATTCTCTGTCTTGGAATATAGTGTTTTTCTCCCCTATCCCCCCCAAAATAGAACTTTATTCAAGTTCAGTTGTTCTTGGGAGAAGCTTCTCTTGGCCAAACCAGCCTGAGAAGACAAC